ATAAATAAACAAATGTGTGTTTTGCACTAAATTTTTTAAAATTACAATCTCAAAAGGGTTTTTGATTATTACTTTTAAAGGCATCACAATTTCCTGGATTAATTACCATATGTTCACTTTTCTGATGAGTTTACAGTTTAACTGAGGTAATTGAGAATTTGCAGTTGAATTAACAGTTTACAGAGATAATTGAGAAAGTGATAATTCAAATGATAGAGAGATGGCCAGAATTAATCTACACAGTCATTCACTACTATTTGTCAAATGCTTATGATAGCAAGACATTGGAGAGATAGCGGTGAACAAAACAGAATCCAAACTTCATGGAGGTTATTATTTAGTGTCAAAGCGAGGCATTTGGTAGTTAATTATACAAAAGAAATAGGTGCTTTCAAGCCAAGTAGTATAGTAAGAAAAACAAATGAAGATTACTAAAAGAAATCTTAATGTGTACTTCATTTAAATTGGGGCTTGTCAGTAAAGGATTCTCTGAAGATATGATAGGATAAATTACCTAAAAGATATTGTAGATTTATTCAGGTAAAGAGCTGGAGGAGGAACATTTCAGGCTGAGACAAACACATAGAAGGGTAAGACAATAGGAAAGTGCCTAGTAAATGTTATGGTTTAGATTAGATGTCCCCCCAAAATCTCATGTGTGAGACAATGCAAGAAAGTTTAGAGATAAAATGATTGATTTATAAGAGGTTTACCCCAATGAGCACATTAATCCCTGATAGGGATTAATAGGGTGGTAATTATAGGCAAGTAAGGTATGACTAGAATATGTCGGTTCCTGAGGGCCTTCCTTTGGGGTTTATATTTTGTCCTGATGAGGACAACTTTCTCTTCCATAGCTGCTTTCCTCCAGCACACACTTCTGCCATGGTATTCAACCTCACAACAGGACCCAAGGAATGGAGCCGGCTATCTATGGACTAAGATCGCTGACATGATGAGCTCCCAAATAAACTTTTCTTCTTCTAAATTGTTCTTGTCATGTCTTTTGGTCACAGCAACAAAAAAGCTGACCAAAACAGTAAGTTTCAGGAAAAGGTTAATGTGACTAAAATATAGTGAAGGAGAGAGGAAAGGTTATACACAACTAAGCTAGATTGTGAAGAAAAGGTCATATCTTGCAAAACTTTTGGCTGTGCTAGGAATTTTGCATTTGATGTGCAAGGGAAAATTATGGAAAAATTTTGAAATGAAAGATATTATTATCAGTGTTTTTAAAATATTGCTTTGGCTGTTGAGTACAGATGGATTGGAAGGAGACAAGAAAGAAAATAGTTAGAATATTAGGAACTTGTGCCCAATGGTCAAAAGATAAGATAGTAGATTGAGCTAGAATGATGATGATGACAACAGAATTGGAGAAAAGTGGATAGATTTAAGATATGTGTTAGATGCAGTACTGAGAGAATATGCTAATGAGCTGATTTGGTTTAGGAAAGAATGAGAAAACAAGATTTTGACACTGTTATCTAGCTGATTAATAATTGATAGTGTCTTTGATTAGAATCCACGATGAAAGAGCTGATATTGGGGTACTGAGACATTTTTGAGATTTAATAATTCTACGGTGTTCTAGATATTTATACTTTATTGTCACTTAGCCCTGTGCCCCAGTTTTTTGCTCCATGAAAATCTTGACATAGATTATAGTGTTCCTGGATCTAAGATGCTCCATTTAATCAAGGTCAAATGAAAAAGCATAATGAATATTTTAAACTAAAATATTTACTATTTTAGACTTTCTGCTCCAAGATTACAAAACAGTATGTTCTTAGTCTCCAATTAAAAAACTTGGAAGACAGTAATCAGCCAAGAACATAGTATTATGGCTAAACTTAGTGAAAAAATGAGTTGGCTTTACAGAATATACTGCACATAATATTAATATTAACTTTTTTTATTCATTAAGATTTAAGGTTTTCTCTCTCATATTGAATGCAAATTTGGTAGGAAAATTTATGCTGCCTTTATCTCAAACTCATTTAAAAGAGAACTCATCAGTTTTCTGTGATTCACTATTTGACAGTGAATGAGAGTTTTGAATATACGAGGAGGGAAAATGGATCCAGGAAAAGGTAGTGGGGTAGAAGCCATGGTTTGCCACAGAAATCTTCTAAGACAGAATCACAAAATCTACAGGAGTAGAAAACACAGCCTATCACTTTGGGCTAAAATAGGTGGCCCAGAATATTCATAATTTCTACATTATAATTGAGTAATAGGATCACAGCATATAAAAACAATGTAGGTAGGGTAATGATAGAAACAATAATGAATAGCATTCATTGATATGTTTCAGAAACTATATTAAATGTTTTCCTTATATTAATTACATGAAACCCTTTGACGTAAGTACACTTTTATCATCATGTTTGAGAATAGAACATGAAGCTCTAAATCATAAGTCATTTCACCAAAGTTACATAGATTGTAAATGGGAACATGAAATGGTCAGATATATGAGTCTAGGAGTGTAATTTTCTGCCACTGTGCCACACTGCACCAGCACACAAAATGATGAAACTTTAGTGCCACAAGATAGAAAGAAAAAAAATGAAAACATTATTTACATTGGTTGCCAAATATTGTTAAACAATCCAAAAGAGGAAAAAAATGTCTCTGTTATGTTAAACCATCGATTTACTATATAGAACTTCTGAAGATAAAGCTGACTACTTACCGCAATGTAAAACTATTTTGAGATTTTGATTAATGTAATTTCTTACAAATCTTTAGGCATTTGAATTTCACACTATAGCTCCAGTTTTTGTGAACTTCATCCTTGTTTCCTCCTTCAAAATTTGTCTTAATTATGATTGTCATTCATTTTCTTCCATTTTTATTTTTATTGCTCACCCTTGTTCTTAAACCACTTTGGTTGAATACTTTGATGATCTTTTCTAACACAAATTATGTGTTGATACGTGATACTTCATTGAAAACTGCTTTACTTGAGTTTGTAAAAACCACTTTAAAAAATGAGAGAATTCATCTCAATTTTGCAGGAGTTATATATGATATAATAATAATTGCCTAGTTATATAAACTTCTAAAAAGGTTTCAGATAAAATGATGAATGTCAATTTTTTCTTCTCATCCTTTAGCAACCCATCTATTATCTATTCTACCTCTACAACTACCTATTCTTTTTCTATCAGCAGCAATGTGTTAGCTCTCATTTCTAGTGTCCTTAACTATACCTGACTGAACTGAGTTATCAGCAATGAATAAGCTTTTTAAGATAAGATGAGGGGCTAGGATTGTGGTTTAGCTTTAGAGCACTCACCTAGCATGTGCAAGGTCCTGGGTTCGATCCTCAGCATCACATAAAAATAAATAAATAAAGATTTAAAAAAAAGACAAAAGGGACATTCTAATTGATAGGGGAAATCTATACTGTATACAGGAAAAGACTTGAAGGAAACATGGAAAATTGGTGTGGCAGTGAATGCTAATAGGAGATGAAGTTGATAATCTGGGACCAAATTCTGAGTCTGCCATGTAAAGAAATATGAAAAGGTACAAGGCTAATGGCAAACCATTGGGAGTATATTTTTCTTCTCTATTCAGGTGCTTCTTGTACATCCTTGTCCTTTTGTTATTATTTAGGCTGAAAAACAAAGCTGGCCATATTTGACTTTTTACATCTCCACTTGTAGCACATTTCTTGAGTTCAGTCCCTTTAATAGCGTAACTGTGGTTGTGTATATGTGAAATTGTACTTTGGCATGAAGAAAGCCATGATTAATTCCTTAAGTAGAATCTTTGAAGATTATCAAGAAATTAAAAAAAATGCAAACAACAACAAAACATTTATTTTAAAACAAATTCATGTCCACTACTGAAGCCACGGGATACTTTTTCTAAAAGACATTTCATCTTTTGTGCCGGTCCAGTTTTCCTCTATGCCAAAGAGCAATATATCATGATCAAGGGACTGCCACAAGTGGAGAAAAGCAATTACATTTATACACAGTTGTCCCAAATCCCTTCTAAAATAATCCAGATTTTACATAGATTTATTTTTGGAATTGACAGAATCTTAGCAGGACCATTTGAAGTGAAGTGCTATGCAACTCAGACCCTGTCTCTAAATAAAATTTTTATTTAGCCCTAGTTTGTAAATAGGGATGAGATGTGGGTCAGTGGTCAAGCACCCCTGAGTTCAATCCCTAGTATCTGTCCCCCACCCCACCCCCCAAAATGAAAAAGGTATTGCAACATGTGATTAGTTATTTCATGAGTATAGTGTGTGTGTGTCAGGGGTGGTGGAGAGAGAAAGATATTGAGAGACTGGTATTTATTTGGAAACATTTATTAAATTGGACTAATTTTATATATAGAATTTCACTCCAGAGCAACAAATTCTAAGAATATTTGTCTCTTTCAGCATCGTCTACTTTCAGGATAGGAGGTCTCTGCTTCAAAGTAAATTGCTCTGTAGAATTTTGCCACATTATTTGATCAAAGACCTGCCCTTCTCCTGAGACAAAGAATGTTGTCTATTACTGGCCTCATGCTGAGAGACCAAAAGAAATGTGACAGACTTGATAGAAACCATGTAGCAGACAAAAGCCTGTCATCAGTCTTAGTGAGCTTGGAATGTTCACTGTTCTGATAAATATTGGTTTTATTCTGTGGAGCACTGTAAATATTGTTTGTAACAAGTATTTGTTATTTAAATTATAGAAATTTTAAACAATTAAAAAATGTGGCTATGACAGGATGTGCTGAATGGAGTTCCATGCATTGTCTGTCCCACTCCCTCTCAATCACAAGTATATGGAGATCAGGACTGGTGAAATGGCTACTCTGCTTCCTGAAGTCTAGAGGTCTTAATATTTGTCACTTTAACTTTACCAAATAATAAGAAATGATTGATTTAAACAAATATCTTTGTAGTATATTGGAAAGTTCTTGGGTAAAACATGGCCAGGTCAAATCTTCCCATATTCTAATTAATGTTTACTTGATCTTATTAGGAGCATGGCATTCCTACTGACATGGGCTATGCAGTGGCTCCTCATCATTCAGGTGTCTACCCTGTACATGTACAGCTTTATGAAGCCTGGAAGAAGGTTTGGAATATTAAAATCACCAGCACTGAAGAATATCCACATCTGAAACCAGCTAGATATCGGAGGGGCTTCATCCACAAAAACATCATGGTGAGTTTCTTCTGGTATGCATTGAGTACAACTAAATCTTCCAAGCTTACATTTCTCATTTGAAGCAGTATAAGAAGAGAGAGAGAGAAAAAGTTAAAAGCATAAATGTAAGAAAAGCTCTATGCTGTGGAAAGCACATTTGTCATATCTAAGCAAAGGATTTCTCAAAGTCACTTCTTTTCAATTCTTCAAATCTATTTATTTATTTATTTTTCTACTGGCACTATGGCTGGTAAGCCGGCACTGATGTGACAATGTAAGACAGTATTATATCAAATTGTCAAAACGTTTTAGAAGCCATCATTTCTTCAAAAAGTTATTTGGTAGGTAAAACTGACACCAACCTGATATATTCACCATCTCTTTTATAAGCCAGTTACACTGAATTTTTTCTTACCATGGCAAGCTAAAAATAACTAAACTATTTGCAGCAAGAAGCCACATGTGAAATCCTGCATAATTATTAACTGAGGATAATACAGAGAATAAATGACAATGTTAATTAAATCATTACTATCAATTGCCTAATTCTCTCCAGAGCTTCTCTGTTTTGTTTTGTTACTTTTACTCACTGGGCAAATGTATATTGTCAAGATATTCTGCCACCTTATACTTTGCAAGATGCCCCCCCAAAGGAAATATTAAAAATCTTAATTTTTCTCAAGTACCAAGAAAAGTACCAGTGAAGATAACAATGGATCCACTAATTTAGACTCACATACTGGGAAGAAAGACTGAAAATAACATGATATGATGAGCCACTGCAACTTTAAAGTTTGTATGTTTGAACAGATATCTTTGTTTTAACCAAGGTGTAACTGACTTTTTTAAAGACAGTTTTCTAATGTCAGTAAAAATTACAGGGGAAAATGATTTTTAACTTGGATCAGCTAACATCTTGACATTTCTCTCAATAAAAAAAAAAATGTTATAAATGCTAGATGGAGATATAATGGTCACGTTTTATCCCAGCCTGCCCTTGTTCGTTATTTGAAATGAACTTACTGCCCCTCAAGTTGCCAGTTTTCAGACCAGAAAGTTTAAAAGCATTCAATACTCCCTGTCATTTTAAAATTGTAGACAGTCTTATGACAGTGAAATTAATTCTCTAAAGACTTTATTTAATGTTGTTCTGTTTTATTTCTGTTTCAATACTGACAGAAAACTTGCTGGGATATGTCCCTTGAGAAATGTTCATTTTCTTTTTCTCCTGAAAAAATATTTTACCTATACTATAAATGCATGAATCTTGCAGGTAATAAAGCCTTTAACAGATTTTGTGTTTTGATAGAACTATATCCCTGTGGTCCCACTTTTGCATGGAAACTTTCTATTTTGGTTTATAGGCTCTTGGATGAGAGTTTTTTAGTGAGAAATGTTCAGAAAGCAGTTGATTATGCAACAAGAGAGACAGGACACTTCTAGGAGCCATCCAAATACAAATACAGGTGGAGACCACAATAGCCAGTATGCCCTCATAGTAAGAGACTATACCAAAAAAAAAAAAAAAAAAAAAAAGAACTGAGGAGTGATCTCTAAATTCCATCAATAATTCTTTCTCTAGCCCAAGAGAGCCATTTCAAGAAACATCTTCAGTGTCTTGAATTTTGTATTCAGTAATCAGAACAGTGGACTCTGACCCTTATCAAACTCCCAATTATCTCTTTAACCTCTTGTGGTGGTGCTTGGATTCTCCTAGGGTTTATGGTGATGTTTCTACTTGCATCAGGAGTAACCCTTAGTTGCAAGGTAAAGCCTGGCCTTTCCTCTTCAACAAATCTTATTTATTTATTTATTTACATATTTCTCCGTTTAGTATAGAATTATCTGAGCAATAAATTATCAAGGACAGCTCTGAATGCATTCTGTAATTTTTCAAGTAAAATAATCAAGTGAAATCCTAAAAGTGATTTAGTTAGTCACATCCTTGTAAAATGTAACACAACCTGGTATATAATTACATGTATTTTCTTATTTAACTTTTGAATATTTCTCTTTATTTGATGTATCTTAAATTTTTCAAGAGTAGAAAACGTATCTTTTTATTCTCATATGGACTAGAATTCAGTTTAAATAACATTTTAAAAATAAATTATATATATATTCATGTATGAAGACATATCTTTGCATATATATATATATATATATATATATATATATATATATAGAGAGAGAGAGAGAGAGAGAGAGAGATCTTTATATTTTCCTATATAAAGATATCTTTATATAGAAAGATATCTATCTATCTTTAATTTCCAGGAAATAATATTTTTAAGAATCATTAGGAAATATATTTAATTTAATCATACTTCCTTTTTTAGTGCTTTTTTGGTGTTGTTGATTTTGTGATTTTGTGCATAGTTTTATGACATTGTATAAAAGCTTTCAAACAGTCATCACCAAATGATGACTCTGATTTAAACTTGTTCTTTAAGCTATTGTTTACTTAAACTACTAAGAAAACAACAACAGAAGAATTAGTATACTTGTAAAGTTTTGCAAAATGTGGAAAGTCCTGAACAGGCTATATTTTAAGAGCATATACTCAAAAAAGTTTGCTTTAATAGTTAAGACAATAAAAAATGAAGATCTACTTGCTTAGGGCAATAAGCAGAAAGCCTGCTTGTGTTAGATGCTCTAAAATTTGTAGCATTCCAAAATATATTCATTTATTTCCTGCCATTTCAAATGTACAGTGACAAACAGGTTGTCATGAGGTTATTATATGATACTAAGATGAAAACTGTACTATCTTGAACATCTTTACTTCTTTTATAATTTCACTGATATTTTATCAGGAAATCTATAAAAAATTAGTCTTTATCACAAATGTGTATAATTGATGAGATAATGATTTTCATACACAAAGCATGAAAAGAAAACCTTTACAGTAGTGACCATTTATCATTTTGTTTATAAAACTCTCTAAAAATTGTGAACCAAATGGATAAATTCTTTCTTATGTTTGATATTAGTGGGTTTCACACCTAGAATTTGGGGCAACATGATATAGACCTTTCTAGAACTGATTTGTGCTTCAAATATTTGTTCTACTTTAAAATGTCATTTCCTAAGAAGCACATTAAGTAATTTAATAATGACTATATTTTCTAATGCTTGAGTACAACTTGGCAGAAGGTATTAATCTTTACATTTTTTGCCTACTATGATTACAATAGAGCACAGACAATTCCAATATTTGTAAATTTTCATTATTACTTTTTAATTTTTAAGATGCTAAAACACGCCAGGCGGGGTGGCTCAAGCCTGTAATCCCAGGTTGGGGAGATTGAGGTAAGAGGGTTGCGAGTTCAAAGCCAGCCTCAACAATTTATTGAGGCCCTGTTTCTAAACAAAATATAAACAAGGGCTGGGGATGTGGCTCAGTGGTTAAGCACCCCTGAGTTCAGTCCCCGATACAAAAAGAAAAAAAGAAAAAAAAAGATGCTAAAACATATTAGGTTTCATACTTAAAGTACTGACTTTGATACTTACAGTAGAAATGCAGTTAGAATAATTCAAGCCTAGTTTAGTTGTAAAATATTCTTTTAATTTTCTTCACTATTCATTCTCTTGTAATAGCATTCTCTCTTTCCCAGAGCTTAAAGTATTTTTCTGGACCAGAGTTAAAATTGACTAATGACAGCAGCTTGTATATCATCTTTTGTGAGAAAAATTTCAACAAAGTGATTTGTTGAGCGCAGTATTTTCTTCACTTGGTCATCTTTTCTTCAGGTTCTTCCAAGACAGACCTGTGGACTTTTCACTCATACGATTTTCTATAAAGAATATCCAGGAGGTCCTAGAGAGCTGGATAAGAGTATCCAAGGAGGTGAACTTTTCTTCACTGTGGTACTCAACCCAGTAAGTATTTGGAGCTACTCTTCAAATAAACAATGAAAAATGGGGAATGGGAAAATAAACAAGGAGAGAAATGAATTACAGTAGATGGGGTAGAGAGAGAAGATGGGAGGGGAGGGGAGGGGGGATAGTTGAGGATAGGAAAGGTAGCAGAATACAACAGTTACTAATAGGGCATTATGTAAAAATGTGGATGTGTAACCAATGTGATTCTGCAATCTGTATTTGGGGTAAAATTGGGAGTTCATAACCAACTTGAATATAATGCATGACATATGATATGTCAAGAGCTTTGTAATGTTTTGAACAACCAATAAAATAAATAAATAAATAAAAACAATGAAAAATGACAGAAGCAGGTAAAAATAACACTTACATAGACAATAGGTTCGGGTATTTATCAGCTGAAGAAACATGAAGTTCCAGCTCTAAAACAATAGTGGAAATGTGAATGGGATCACATCCCAAAGTGGGGACTCATTTATTCTAAAAGCAAAGGTGACATGAGGAGCTTCTGGCAGAAACATAAAAATACTCCAGAAGATCAGAATTTAGGGATTTTTGTGTTTTTGAAGAAAGATTTTTCACTTATAAAACTCTCCTATTTCTATTGGAGGCCATTTTTTTTGCACATTGTGAACAAATTCATCTATTAATTTGTTTCCTACTTAAGCCATAAACAAAAATATTTGTATCTGATAAGCATGAAGGAAATGAATTAGATAAGCAAATATAGTCATTATGCCTACCTTCATGTTACATTGTACATTGCTAGATCACAGAGTAGTCCTGTTTCAGGAAGTCCTCCTCTTCCTCCTTCACATCTTAATACCATGATATCAGTACCCAGTGAAACATTCTGCACATATTTCCCTTGAGGCAAGTATTATAAAGTTGTTTAAAGATGGAAGAACTAATTTAAGTAAGCTGTATAAGGAAAAGATGTTAGTGATTTTTTCCCCAGAAGGGAAATCACTAACATAAAAAGTAAAGTTAAGTTTATTTATCAGATGTATAGGTTTGCCACTGGCATTAGCAGTGTTCAAAATGAAAAATGCAAATTATCTCTAATGTGGAGAAAAAAAAACTATCAAGATAAAAGTTGGATAAGATAGAAATAAACATTAAAATTTGAAAGACTACTTTCATGACTTCAATTTTACAGGTTCTACAAATTAAAATTTTTAAATCACCTACTCCTATTTAGTAATTTTATAACTTTTTAACCCTTAGAAAATGAGATAACTCATATTTGGGAAAAATCTTCAGGTGTGTTAAAAAAATCAAAATGCTTTGGAACAGTGTGGCATGTTCCAAATGCCACATTTCCAAAAGGCATTTTGGAAAGTTTATCAACCTTCAGACTAAAAAGCATAAATAATTCTGATTTACATATTAGAAATAACCTGACAATCCTAAGTTACCTGTTTATTTATAAATGTAACTATCTTTTGAGTTACATGATATGACTCTTTTCTTTAGAAGAGAGCCAGCTATGCAAAGGCAAAAAGAGTTAAACAAATATCTAATTATGAACCAAAGATTCAGTTAAAATACTCTTAAAATGTTAACATTTTTTAACAATCTATAATTGTAAGGCCTTTTATTTATGAGCTATAAAATTCTTACATTTATATTTCCTCTAGTGATAGGGCAATAGGACTATGAACCATTCTAATTGATCAGACTCCTTAGCAAACCTCACTGCTTTTCAGACCTTATCAACAATATTTGGCAATTTTAGTTATCTTGATGAAGTGATCCATAGGAAATAAAGTAGTTGGAGGACTTTACAAAAGCACTCTTTCTTGGTTCAGAAAATTTTTAGAAGATAATTACTTCCAGATAAATACTCAGACTCAAAATAAGTGACAAACCTTGTCAGATATTACAAGATAGACCAGGAATCTAAACCCCTCATTTGGTGCACCAGCTCCAGTTCTACTTACCTGAAGATTTGTGGTTGAGAAGTCTAAATTAAAGTCAACTGAGTCAAACAAAAATGAGTTTTGCAGCTGTTAGTGATGTCTGCCTTCAGGAAGTGATTGAGAAAAGTTAGCATGTTTCCCATAAGTTCTCATACTGAAATTAAATGTTGGAATAAAAAGCTACCAGGTATCATGAGGCATACTATTAATTTAGCAGATGATACTCTTTAATTTTTTTATTTGTTCTTTTTAGGTATTCATGACAGTACAGTGAATTTTGCCATATTATACATACATGGAGTAAAACTTATTCTTATTAAGATCCCATTCTTGCAGTTGTACATAATGTGCAGTTACATTGTTCATGTATTCATGTATGAACATAGGAAAGTTGCATCCTATTTATTTTACTGTCTGTTCTATTCCCTTCTGCCCTTTCTCCCTTTCATTCACCTATGTCTAATCCAGTGGACTTTTATTCTTCTCTTCATCCCCTCACTCCCCACCCTGATTTTGGGTTAATATCCACCTTCAGAGAGAACATTCAGTCTTCGGTTTTTAGGGATTGGCTTATATAATTTTGCATGATATCTCTAGTTCCATCTATTTACTGGCAGATGCCATAATTTTGTTATTCTTTATAGCTGAGTATACATGTGTATACATGTCACATTTTCTTTATCCACTTATCTGATGAAGGGCATCTAGGTTGGTTCCATAGCTTGGTTATTATGAATTAAGCTGCTGTAAACATCCATGTGGCTGTGTCACTGTAGTATGCTGATTTTAATTCCTTGGGTATATACTAATAAGTGGAATAACTTAGTCAAATGGTGGTTCCATTCCAAGTTTTCTGAGGAAAGATGATATTTTTATTAGATTAGAATAAGAATGAGAAATGTATATTTGCTGCAAGAAAAATGTAAGTTTTAATTATAGTAGATTTCAAAGATAACCATTGCAAGATCATGTAACACACCAGACCTCAATTAGTAGTACTATTTTCTGAGAATGCCAAATTAGGTTGTTCACTGAAAAAATTTAGATGTGTGCTGGAAACATGAAACTTAAAAACATTTATATACTTTTCATTTTAAAACAAAATGTAATAAAGACTTTAATGAAGTTTTAAATATCTTGTCATTTGTCAACATAATATCAAAGTTTTAGAATAATTGATAAGAATTAGGGTGACAGATGATTGCAATAAAATTTTTTAGGGTTAAATTGGAATATATCACAAGAAAGATAAAAACCTGAATGGAATAACTTTCTCAACTGAGGTGTTTTACTGTTAGCAAAGTACTTTTTCAATAGCTAAACAAAGAAATGTCAATTAAGTAAACTTAATAGAAACAAAAAGTTACAAAGACAAATGTTAGCAATGCCTAGGGGAGAGCAAACCTTGCCCATTTCTAAATGAATATTTCCCAAATCATAGACTTGGAAACCTCAGATGTGGGTTAAATGCAAGTGTTTGAGTAATAAATTTTTAGGTTAAGATCCACTTGGAAAGTGGACACATCAGGCTATCTGAGCCTGGGTCCTTTAAGAATTTAGTTCTGGTTCTTTTTTTTCTGATTCTGAACTCAACTGTCAAGATACTTATCATAATTTGCTTTCCTTCGTAGTTAATACTATAGGAAAAAATGTGTTGATCACAGAAACTATGATAATAATTTCCAAATTAATTTTATAAATTGTCTTTTAATTGATAAATATTTCCCATGCCATCTAACTGCCACAAAAGAATCTGCTGATTGCACAGATTCCATATTAATTTATTTTCTAATTCATAATTCCCCCATTTTAAACTAATAGATAGCATCTTATTTTTATTTATTAGTTTCCCAATTTGATGCTGTCCTGAGAAATGGACTGTGTCAGTGTTTAATTTCCAGTTCCACCTGTTTTAGGAAGATGATCTTAGGAAGATATTATAATATTTAACATGTCTTCCTAAGTATGATGAATGAAACCATTCCAATTTACATAAAATTTTACTATTGTGGCACCATGTAATCATTGTAGATATTCTAAGCAAAGATGTTGCCTTCTTACTTCACTGTTCTAATTTCTAACCACAGATGTTCTAGTCTTTGTTTGCGCTCCTTCTCAGTAAACACAATTTAGATATTGTGTCATTAATAATTGATATCAATGGAACATTTTTGCCATCTTCCAACATGCTTGATAATAAAGTCAGTACTTGCTTTATTTATTAATAATAAGTGGTTTTGTATTGCCACATTTCATCACATTTGCTTGGCATCCCTGATAGCTTAAGAATATTATACTTCCTTCCAGATTGGCATAACACAAAACCAGTAGCTAATATTTTATGTCCACATTTTATTAATTTTTTTCTCCATGTTTTCAATTTGCCATACCCTCAGTACCCTTTTATTTGCATTCCTGGAAGTTAAATCTAGGTTGTGTTTCTCTTATTAAAGAAAAAAACCAAAACAAAGACATGCATGTGAATAGAGTGAATATCCTATTATGAGAAGAAGAGATATAGGTGGATTACAATTAAGACAACAAAATTCATAAAAGAAGATAGCTTATATAAATAAAAATTAACTCACATTGAAGAAAATGTAATTTACATTTGTATGTTTAGTATGTGTTTGACTATAAAAATCATCTAAATTTTTTTTTGCCTAATGGAAAGTGTTTGTTTACTTACATGTCTTTGTTGCAAAATAAGTAAAGAATAACAACCACAATTTTAGACAATGGGAAAGTGATACCTGAACATACTTAATGATGGAAACTCTCTAGGATTCTTGATAATTTTTTTTTCTTAATGCATAAGATACTACAGGGGAAAGAACACTGCATATTTATTATGTGCTTAATGTGATTGTAATGATTAGATAAATTTGCAAAATTCTGTAGAGTAAGGAAAAGAAGATAAAAATTGAGGACCTCCTATGGTCAAGGTTTCAGAAATGAAAATGATTCTGGAAGAGGTGGAGGAGGAAGAGGAGGAGGGGGAGGGGGTGGGGAAGGGGCCAGAGAACTCTTTCATTGGTCATCCTGGGAAATCTTAGAAGCCCCTCATTTTGTTTT